ATGCTCATGATTATATTTCCAAGTTACAGTCTGATTTGAGTCATGTTTCTGATCAGCTTAATGCTTTACAAGCTCGTAACTTTTCTTTAGATTCGCCCCAGCCCAATTTTTACGCTTCTGAATCTTCTATTATTTCACAGAATAATTTGATTCGAGGTATTGAGGCTGATAAAGCCAATTTAGCTGATCATATTGCACAAGCAGAAATTGATCGTCACAGACAATATGTATTAGCGGATTCAAAATCTCCTTTATCGACCACTACAATTGTTACTACAACGACAACTACTCATGCTTTACCACCTGATGCTGATACACAACATTCTGATGATAATGATGATGATGATATTGTTTTACTTAAAACTAGGGCTGGTCCTACATATCAGCCTCCCATTGTAAACTTTTCATCACCAAACGAGTATGTCGGAAATGCCTTTAATGACAATCGCAATTTAAGATCTTTTGCACCAACTTCACAACTACCAGCAACATCTCAGCTTGATCAACCAAACACTGCACAATTTGAACCGTCTGGTTTGAAACATCACGAATACCATGGTATTCAACCTTCTACCGCTCACAAGACTGTTTGCCAGCCAATCCCAAATAATTTTACAGATTCCTCATATAAACAGCACATTTATGCATCATCAGATGCTTGTCTTCAAACCGACATGTCTAGTCAAGACATTGAGGCGCTTGGGGATGAAATGTGCGAACTGTTATTGGCAGTTAAACAATACAAAGCAACTATTTTGGAAGCTGAGCAATTACAAAATCAAATCCAAGACTTGGAAGAATGGAATCAACAACTTTTAGATAGTTTGGATGCGGAGCGAGGCATGAGGATTGAAAGTCAAGGAAAACTGTTTTCAATTCAAAATGATACAGCACTAGTTCAGCAGGAAACTATTGCTACAGAGTTACTTGACATCTATCGTGCACATTTAGTTGATGTCGCTTTGGATCGTGACAGATATAAGCAACGATTGGAGACAATGGCTGCTCACACTAGTTTAAACCCTACAATCGAAAACAATATTACGCTCACGGAAACTCGCCGATATGTTACGGCACATGATACTCAAACTCCTGTTACAACTTTGAATCTTTCTAGTCAAGATTCATTACAGAGAGAGGAAGCACTTTGCTCTCCTGTACTTTCTGTTATTGAGAGCAGCATATCTGACACTACATCTGTGCCTTCTATTTCGTTTGACTCTGCAGTTTCTTTGGAAAGAAATATTGTCAGACGATTTAGCACCGTGTCGTTGAGACTACATGAGCCTGAAACACGTGGCTCACATGAACCATCGATGAATCGTCAACTTCATTCCAAGACCTCTTCATTCCGAATTGGTCAACGTACCATAATGTCGTCGAGATCCTATCAAGATATGTATCGTCCCAATAACGAAAGTGTATCCTCAACAGCTCGTTTAAGATCGCTTGTGGACCGGCAGGCTATTGACATTTCAAAACTTGAGTTTGAGCTGAATCGTGCACAGTCCATCTTAAACTCTCAATGGGATCATATTCAAGTTCTGTCGAGCCAATTGCAAAAAAGTTGCTCTTCGTTGGATAGGCCTAGTACCAGTTATGATTTATCGCCATCTTCTAGCAAAAATGCACCGCGTATTGATGTCAATATTCCAAGCAACATAGATTTGGCTCCACATTTTATTGAAATCATTTCCGCACCTGCTGCTGAAAAGACATTGACAACTACTACAAAATCAGCAGCCCAGCCTTTACACTCGCGTACCACTACTTTTTCTGCTTCTTCTTTGAAAACTCCTGCAACACCAGAGTCTTTTCATCTATCTAATGCTAATCAGACTACAGGCACATATTTCAATCCTCAAAAACCATTGTCCATGTCCGAGTATGAACATGAACGACATTTAAATTTTACTGAAATGATTTCACAATCTCAAATGATGGATTTTAATCATGAACTGTTGGCTGCACGTCGTCAGATTGCAGAGTTGCAAGTCAAAAACACAGAACTTTCATGCGTTATTGAACGATTGGAAAGTAACAGATCAGGACGAAAATCTAATTTATTTGGATGGAAGCCGTCTAAATAAACATTTATTTTATGTACATCATTTTTCTGTATGATATAAGATGTGATGCGTTTAAAGCGTTACAAAAAGCCCAATTATTTTGATTCAAACCATTCCATACTATTAGCTAATGTCTTTTGTGACGAGTATATAAGGCAAGTACTTAATTCTTTATTCGTCCAAAGTAACAATAATAGAGTGCTAGTTTGGATGCCCTCTGTATATCTCGGCCAAATTCCGATCTCTTAGCGGTGTATCTGAAAACAAACTTTTAATCAGTTTAGATATTTCAGGCAAGGTAAAATCCTTTAGTTTTCCTGCACGAAATGCTTCCATAATCTGGGCAAAATTCCATTTGAGAAGTGCGCCAACCATGATACATTTACGATAATGGGGTTGTGTGTACAATTGTATTTGCGAGTCAATGCTGCTCGAATCTACAATAAACATACTGCTCAGCCCTTCAAGTTTCTGGACGAGATTGGCCAACTTTACTGATTCATCCTCTGCAATGTCTTCGAGTTGCTCAATTTCAGAAATTATTGCTTGGCACATGCCAGAAACAAGCTGTCCAATTGCTATCAAATATACCTGATCAGAAAGTACCTTCTAGCCAATTTAAAAATAAATGCATAGTATTCAGGTGAGAAAATGATCATTGATTTATTAAAACAACAAAGACATACCTGATATATACTTGCTATATGTCGAATATGATATATTGTTTGATTCATCGCACTCTCCACCGCTGCATATCGATCTGGCTCAAGACAGTCAAAACCAGTCGATGATGCAATGCATTCCAAGATATTTTTCAATTGTAGTTGTTGCTGACTATAATAGTACCTGTGTGCAAGATTGTGAAGTGGCGGCACCAGATCTATGAAATGAAGCACGCATCCCTGCTGCAACGATATTTTGTCTTGATATGTTGCTGCAGCAAGCAAACACCAATGTGCAATAAACATGCAATCATTGTGGAGTACCATGGACAAATGAGGCGGAATCTTGTCAGTATTTGAAGTTTGATAAAGAGCTACAACATGCGAAGCTCGAAAAATATCAAGAATGTCTCTAATTGTATAGTAGATAAGCGTGGCTCTAATGCAGTCACCATAAAACAATATTTCAGTCCACTATTATCGAGTACACCTATATATTGCTTTGGTACTATTTCAAGCAAACACGAATATTTCAAAAACACGCTTACCCTTCAGATTTCAGCGTCATAGCACTCAACAAAGTCTTGTCAAGAATATTTACAAGTGATTGTGTGCTTTGCCGGATTGTGATTTGAGGAATTGAAAAGGGGGACCGATTTTCTGTGCAATGCGTGATTAGAATGGATGTGTTTTGATTCATTGACATGATGATAAATGCTACACATACCACTGTCAGTCTTCCAGGAAACACCAAACACTGTTGTGGTATAATCTTGAGAGAATATCAAGGTACGCGCACGCTCAATAATATTTTGCGAATGCTGATCTACAAATCTCTCTTCAATTCTCGATAAAAATTGATGAAATGGTGATTCTAGGCTACATTGAATATCTTGAAAATAATATCAAGCAAGTAATCAGCCAACTAAATATTTGAAACCTTGAAAGATAGCAATCCAGAAAAGTGGTCGTGTACATACCTAGTTTTTGTAACGACTCATTAAACTCTTGCACAATTGGCATCAAATGACTTGAAAATGCTTCAAAATCCTCAATATTTTGAGGAAAGTTGTTCAATGACAATGACTTCATAGCAGCCACTTCAAACTGTAACAATGTGTCGTTTCCTATAGCTGATAAAAGCTCGACAGTGGCAGGAGAGGATAAAGAAAGATGAGCAGCAAACTCGGATAGAAAATTAGCAAACAAAATGTATATTTTCAGTGATGAATTCAGCGCAATGTCATTGTTTTTAGCAGTGATATCGGAGCCAGTTTGAGTTGGTGATGTTTGAATAGAAACTACAAAATTCCACGCGGAATCCATATTTCCCTTTTCTATACAAGTAACAAAAAACTCATTTGGACGAGTAGCTTCTGCCATTGGAATAATTAGATACTTGCGAATTCTCTCGACAAACGACATCATAAACTTGGGTAAAAGTCCAGCTAATTCTGCAGCATCGACTGCTACGTTTGTGAATATATCTGGAATTCCAGAACCAAATTCTACACAAGAATCATAAAAACATGTCAGCAGAACCGATCGAAGATAATAAATGCAGCAGATTGAGTGTATGCGCAACGTTTACTTACTGACACGATCCAGCATTGAAATGGTTATACTGGACGATGTTTTGGACAACACGAATGCTGTATGAATGGCATGCTCAAGCATTTGATGAAGACCATTTTGAATCAATCGAAAGTGTTTCTAAAACATGACAAAGACTGTTCAATCGCATGCAACACAACAGCGATCCAGATCTTGACTGAAGTCGACACTCACCTTTATACTTGCTGATAAATCCTCCTCGAGAGTGAGAGACTCAAGATGAACCATTTTTTCCTGTAAAGTTTAAGCAATCTCAGTATGAATCTGCAGCCAATATCGAATATAAAATGACATACCAGCTCAACCAGTGTAGTGGTTGCCTCCAAGTATCTTCCATGAGACATATGATCGTCGTGAAGATCCAAACGAGACTTGATGGTTTGGAAGCAGGAGAGCGACATATGACGAGAATGCAGTTCCACAAGCTTCGATCTGGAAGCAGCAATATCAGACAAAACTGTATCGATTCGAGCCTGTAAACCCTGCAGCAGAAGACTGTGTAAGTCTGGCTCGACCATGTAACAAACAGCGAGCGAACAAACACCACATCAACATGAATATAGAAGTTACCTCGTCACCACTAATCTGGGCAGCAGCACTATCCACACGATGCATCAACAGTCTTGACAACTGGACAGCATCAACAGCCTGTGATATGGACTGACGATATTCATCTGCATTGGACTCTACCAGACCTTCGATTTCCAGCTACAGCGTTATAGAAACGTCAGCATCGAGTCACTGCAAATGGCAGATAATGACTTGCCTTGATGTCTTTGATCTTTCTCCGGACCAGACGCAAAGAAGTCTGCCATAACTCGCTGTCAGATCCAGAATTGGAGACTGGATTTGATAATGAGTTGAATGTAATGTCATGGATGAGTTGATTGGCAGCTTGCATGGTTAATCGCAGTAAAGTCGGATGGCCAAGAAACAAGCTGAATTCATGACATTTAGCCTTGATCAAACTCTTAATACATATCAATGGATATCATGTTTATTTATCTATTGCTTATATCAATTGAAGCTTGATTTACTACAATCTCAATCGCATATAGTCTAATCTTGACATCTGTTGGAATCGTTTTATAGAATCTGCATAATCTTTGACAGCGTTACTTTCCTGGCACTCTGTTCCAGCTGACGCGACACTGTTACGATTTCCTATTGCTCAAACCATGTTAATTCCTATTTAGCCAGACTTACTATATAATATATTGTCAATACTCACATGGTCTGTCATGGCGTCTTTTAAAACAGGTCGTACAATATTCACAAACACTTGACGATCTATAAATCCCTTTCTTTCTGCATCTGCATTCTGAAACTCATTCTGAAGTTTACTCTTTGTATCACTGCTGAGATTACTCAAAACTTGAAGCACTTTATCCATAGTATGCTTGGGATCACTCTGTTTGAACTTTTCCCGATTCTCCTCCATAAAGTTAAACACATACTCGTCCGCGTCAAGAAGCACAAAACAATGGCTGAGTACATGAAGAGTGCAGCCAACAAATAGATCATTCACATCATAGTATGACGGTCCTGCCACATCCGAAAGTGACGATCCTGGACGCAACACTCGCGTTCGCTCCATAAACTTCCCGCCAAGAATTCCAGCATTTCTATGCAGGATCAAAAAAGCATTGTTATGTGACCATTCCTTTTTGATTCGATCCAAGAATGCGTGAGAAAATCAAGTTTTGATCAAGACTCATACCTTTGAGGCGGTTCGTAAATTGTCATCATGTCGTCTGCCAGTCGGTAGCTGATCACAAAGCGACGATCTTTGTCCTCTCTGTGTTTAGATTCCTAAATCATCCATTTCAAATGTTTGTCAATCCACATGCATCAAACATATTAGATAGCACATAATCTGGTAGCCTATAAATAAACCTTACCATACGGGCAACAAACCGCAGTACTTTGTGCTCATTCTCAAGCATCTTAATAAAATCTTTTTTGGGAGGTTTTAAAACAAGATATTTGCACGATCCAAGCGAATCTTCAACCGTTCCAAATCCATTGTATGGAGGAATTTCTGATTCTCGTGGGAGAGGCTGTTCTTGATTTACAAATACCACTTTTGTCTGGCTGATGGACTTTCCGGTATTTTCCAAATAGAATCGCTTAGTATAGTCGTCACAATCTTGGCTGGTTCATTACAAAAAAACAGTACATTTAAACTTTTGATTAATATAAAACAGTCATGTATCATTGTGGAGTTTAAAAACCATACATTAAAAACGGTCTGCCCAAAACATTGATCACACTGTTGACTTGAAAATCTCTCCAAGTGTACTTTTGAGATTCTTGCAAATCCGAAAGTTCCTTGAAAGACTTGGGAAGCTGCTGGCGTCGCAATAGAATTGGAAAGGGATCGCGACCATTGTTTGGTTTTTGCACCTCACGAACTTCGACACTATCATCCACCAAGTGATAGTGCATCACCTGTGAAATGAGGATATTTCAAAAAGTTTAGTAAAAGTATTTCATTGTAAAAAACAACATATATTGTTTTTATGCATAAAAAATATCAATACAATATATACACATCTAAACACTTACAAACTCACGCAATTCTCCAAACATAGACTCGCGATCATCCCAAACACAATAGTAGCGGAGAACCTTTCGATCATTTTCAAGAAAACTTTTCAGTTTATCTTTGCGTTCGGTACAAATATTGTTTACACGGATAGGACGAGAACGAGTGTTTTGATACGGATCTTCTGGCATGACTTCAGCTTGGTTTAAAGATATGCCTTCAGTTAATTGAAGGTATGTCTAGATATATCAAAAGCAAAACAAACCATGCAATTAGAGTCATTACAATATACTTTTGGTCAAGACATTAAATCTAGATACTGCTCAGAATTGACTTTGATATAATATGCAATATTAAGCTAACCAACCTCTGTAAATTTATCACATGAAACAATACGAAATGTTTTTCCGTAAAAGGTAATATTGATACCAACATTGAAATCCTGTACAGTGTAAAACTCTGAAGAAGATTTTGGAAGACGCTGACGCTTGATCAGTACGCCGTGTGGGATGCCATTGTTTTTGACAGGAGGTTCCACTACTGCAATCGAATCGTCTTCAAGAAAATAAAGAATCCGAACTTTACGTAAATGGAACTGCTCAGTAGATTCGTGGACTGTCTCTTTGAAATATCCATCAAAACGCAACACCTAGATACAAATAATTGCGTACATTCCAGTAGATAATTTGCAATCCATTATTAAATATACCAAAACACATTCGACTGTATCAAAAAAAGCATTTAGATACAAGTTGATGGTTACTATAAAATGATGTGTCATACCACTTTGTCAAATGCAACATGCGCAGGAACAAAACAGGACTGCGTTTCTTTAGAATGGAATTGTTTATCACCATAGACAAGTTTTGGGTCAAGAGTAAGCGACGCGATAAGCTCATCTGGCGTTAGAGTTTTTTCTACATGAATTGGCTCAAGTCCGATTTTTAGAGTGGGTTTTGGTTGTATTGGATACCCATTAATATATCCAAGAGAGTGGGGTTTGCGAAAATCATTTTTCTATAGTATATGTAAAACAGAATGTAACACGTAGAGATTAGTAAGTCTGAGCTAGTTGTGATAATACTCGTCGCGTATTCAATATGTATATATAGAAATGCTAGGAAATAAAAGTAGAATCTAAGATGTCCAGCTAAAGTATGCTGAAAAATGATGGACCTACTGTTACATCTTGAAACGAGTTTCCAGGAAGAAACGGAATCTCGGCTCTTGAGCCAGCCATACTGATATATAATTTTAATATTTATGGTAAAAACAGATTTTCAATAAAATTCAAAACTTGATTGAATAGAAACGCGGAAGAGTTGAAAGAATTGGCGATTTATAACCGAGCACTATAAAACAGTCAATTAAGGCTATATCCAAGTATCCAATATAACTCTGATTGAGGAATTTGAAGCCAAAAGGGAAAAGCAATTTCACCATAATAGAATAAGCAGACAAAAGTTGTGCCATGGCTCAAAGGAGTTTATAGGATATCAAGTTGAATTTACAGCCAAAGTCACGCAAAATGAAACACTGAAATAGACAATGATTTAATAGTCGTCTGGCTTTGTTATTAGAAATTGATATTTACAATTATTTCAAATATAATTTCCATTGTATGATTCACACACAAACTATAGATTTGAACTGATTCCTTTTTTCATTTGACATGAAGATAAATTACACAATCAACGAGTTTGAACTCTGATTTGTTGATTAGAATCCAGATATTGTGCCTGGCTGTTGCCCATCAAACTCTTGCAAACTTTGTATTTCAAACTAATAAATACGCTTGAAATTCAATCAATTTCAACAATGCGATCATACAATTCAGTCATTAAAAGACTAGACACTGCAGTCCAGTCCAGTCCAGTCCAGTCCAGTCCAGTCCAGTCCAGTCCAGTCCAGTCCAGTCCAGTCCAGTCCAGTCAATCATGACATGAAATTGTTTATATTTCGTGTTTTGCGGAATCGACAGAAACAAGAGTTTCGTACACAGAAAGGAACTGGACATTTAGTGATAGCACATTGGTTGTCTATGGTACTCTTGGCTGACTGCAACTTCCCTGAACAGGAGACTGCTCATGGAACCAATCCTCAACTGTTACAGAGAAGTCTGGATATCCACAACTACACATATTCAGATGGTCAGCCAGACAACCATCTGCTTTCAAATATAGTTTCTGAAAACGGAACAGTTGCAAGTGAATACGATTCATCTAGACTCTCGCCGATAGACATGGCCAAACACTCTTCTGCTCTTCCTCAGTCTTATTATTCTGATCCATCAGTTCATCTTCCACTCTGGTCTCACCCAATGGCAGCTTTGCAATATCCTAGCAAGGCTTTGGCTCAACCATCTAATCCAACCTCGTCTACATCAGTGCTGCATCACCATAATCAGCAGAACCAACCGTTTCCACAGCCTTCACTGCCAATTGATGCGGCTAATATGGCTGCTCCTGAATGGCTTTCTATGTACAATCATCAACCCTATATTTCGCCAGAAGTGGTTTATTTCCACGACGCCATATCGGACACGTTGCAGATTCGACACAATCATTCATATGGAGGCAACTATGTTCTTGACAATCTAGCACCCATTTCATGTGCTCATTTTGGTACTCTAGATCTGCATCACTCTGCCCAGTTGATTCCTCAACCAAGCCAGACTGTGCAGTCTCATCATAATTCAACTAATCTTCATTCAGCTTCGATCCCTATTCAAGCTTCATTTCATCATCAATGGAATCCACACTCATACAGACGCTTCAATCGCGCTGCTGGACAAACTCGGTTTTCAACCTCGAAAAAGTCGAGTAAATCTCATACTAGACAGGTTTCAGTCGGTATGCTCAAATGGTTGTGGCATAGGATGTTTTTTTTCAAGGTTTTCTCTCATCGTTTGGTTATAGAAAATACTAACACTACTTTTTTTTCTGTATCGTACTATGCTATGATGTTCAATTCAACCATAAATATTCCATCGGGCAACACAACTGGTTAAACTAAACTCAAATTATTGGTTTATTTGGCTTGACCTTTACCGTGGTTTTGGTGATACTATCCAATATTTCTTGGATCGGCGCTTCCATACGATAAAATGCGTTATAAAATCATTAAATCAACCACTTGCACTCTTGGATCAACCTAACATGAATTCAAATGCTTGAAACCACAACTCATCCTTTTTATCAGATACACATCTTCAATTGCCAAAATTTCATGTTTCACAATATGATTATGCATATGCACACAAGTCTGTTTCTCAAGAGATCTGTTGCGGTGATGAAGATTGGCATGAAGTTCAATCTGCTGCAGATTCTATTGATACTGGAACGTCTACAGAAATCAATTCCATGGTAGAATCTTTGCTTACACAATCATCTCGAACTAGCAGCTTACCCAATGAGCCCTCATCAGAGGAACGGCGACTGGAGCAACGTCAAAAGCAAATTGACTATGGAAAGGTATACTTTTTGAAATGTGTTGCACTTGTAATTCCTAATCCAACTTACTTATTTTTACAAACGCACAAGAATACTGTGGGATATCGTAGATATCTTGAATGTGTTCCAAAGTAAGTGTTCAAGCTTTTAACTTTGCTTAACGTATTGTCTTTGTGGTGTCATATGCTGATATCGTTTCTTTGGGTATGATAGAAACAAACGCCAAAGGGGTGATCCAGAAACACCTGAAAGACATAGCAAATGTAGTAAGCGAGCATGGGATGCTCATGTGCGCAGTTGGCGTCGAAGGCTTCATCAATACGATCCTCCAGGCGATCCCTCCGTTGATTGTGACAAAGATATGGGGTTCGAAGATGGTTCTAAACTCAATATATCTGTGGAAATGGATGCAAATATGGCCAGGCTGGATTTGTATGATGATTCTCATATTGGAGCAGAACATACCTCTACTGAACTGCCATATAAAACTTACCATTTTGAACGTACTCTTAGTTTAAAACAGTCCCCTTTGTAGCAAAGTAGACACATGGCATAGCTATTACCAATAAATTGATATCCAATAT